CTATGTGCACTCAAACCCAAAATACGTGATCTATCAGCCAACACCCTTTGCGCTGCGCCACCAACTTTCTGCAGATTCGGTTTAAGGGACATACTTTGTAACACACGTATACCCTTCTTTTTCTTTTTCCCACATCACTGTCGGGTTCTTGTTTTCTATTACTTGCCGCCCGCCGCCCGCAGCCACCGCCCGCCGCCGCCCGCCACCGCCGCCCGCCGGCGGCGGCGCGCGCGCGAAGTCGCCCCAAAGTCGCCCAAACCTCGCAAATATCGTGGGAGTCTAATTCTGCGCGCTCCAACACCGCGCAAATATCGTGAGAGTCTAATGCCGCACGTTCCAAAACCTCGCAAATACCGTGGAGTCTAATTCCGCACGCTCCAAAACCTCGCAAACATCGTGGAGTCTAATTGAGCACGCTCCAAAACCTCGCAAATATCGTGGGAGTCTAATTCCGCACGTGCGGCGAGTTTGTTGGATCTCGACCTTCTACTGAACGAAACTGCCGCTGGTGCGATCAGATGTGATGCGCGTCATCATGTTGGCTCCGGCTTGAATTGACCCGAGCTCGCCTTTGCACTTCCTCGCTCGACAAATTGGCGTGAATTGTGCTCAGTCTTTGTTTCGTTCTCATGTATGCATCTTGGCTTGTTGCGGTGCCCGACGACGAGGCTTGCTGCGCGTACATTTGTGAGATTCGTAGCTAAAAGTGTTCAATACTTGGAGGCTTACTAGCAGCGACAAGAACCAGTAGAGATGCATCGTCCGTCCATAGCTCCTGGGCTATTGGAGTCCTGCTGGAAGAAGCAGGAGCCACGAGTCGCCGGTTGCATGGCAATGATTGAGTTTGCTTATGCAGATGTTGCTGCGTATACAGATCTAGACCGCCGGCTCATGGAGTGGTGGAACAGGCATGGAGCCCGGAGTGTCTAAGTGGCCAAACGATGTGGTGCAGCTTTACAGGGCTGCCGGGAAGTGGTCATTGTGGGTGGGCAGTACTGCGGCCGCACTTGAGCCAACGGCGCGCAGTTGGTGATCGCCACGAATGCACATGACGGTGTTAAGAGAGGCGAGCCTGGCGCATGGGAGCTCCATCATAAAATTCCACGGTGCTTCGACAAACCTCATGAGGAAACGTGTTTGCTGCGTTTGAGTTTTTTGATAGAATTCCAGCTCTGCTTGGAGGCTTTGGAAGAAGGAGAGTCCCGAGGGCGCGGAAATCAAAGTTTTGCTGCATTGTTACGGGGGCGTCAGTCGAACCTGTGCAGCGGCTTGCGTTTTGCTCATGCGCTTTGAAGGTCTTCGGCTTGACCACATCTTGACTCTGTGGCAAAAGCATCGCACCTATTATGCGCCTTTCCTCAACAGGGAGTACATGCTCTACGCGCTGATTGATGTGGAGAGGGACATATTCTTCCGTGAAGACGGTTGCCGCTCGTTAGTTTCACAGGAGCTGTGTGACCCGTTTCTGGAGAAGTCGGCTTGATTCAAGCCGCGATGTTTGTGCAGCGAGCAAAAGCTGACATTGCCGTACTTGGTCAAGAAAGGCAAGCATTGTAAGTGTCCCGTCAGCCCGTCCGTTCGTCCGCTCCGTTCGCCCCACCGCTCCGTATACCCGCCGCGGACCATACGATTACACAACGCCGAACGCATGTTGTCACACCATGCAAACATGGCCAAAGGGCACCACCCTGAACCATAAACCCTAAACTCCCGCCCGGCCTACTCGGTCTCGGAATGGCTGTGGCTGCCAGTTTGAACTAGTTTGACTCACGTACTGATAGTGAATTCTTGTCTGTTCTGCTATACTTTGAGCGCATGCGTGCCCAGGTCAGTTAGGCAAGAGTCGGAACATCACGATTCCTTCAGAAATCAAAAACAGAAGCGCACGTCTTTCACGACTACACATCCCTTTCAAGCCAGGTCAGCTTGCGAATCGCCGAATCAGAGGTTTCTGTCTTTTTCTGAATCAGCTGGGAGTTTACGAATATATGGGGACCTCCAATATGGACCCCCAAATAGTAGGATTCCTTTATAACAAGGACCCTAATAAGGTACCCCTAACTCCGGAAACCACAAGGTGTTGGCTACTTGCGCAGGAAGACGGTGTCTTACGGGCCATTCTACAGGACGCGTGACTCGATACCAAGATTAATCTTGGTATCAATTGTTCCTTTCTCCGAACTTGTGGCGCGATGCCGACCACCCCAACCAACTGCCTGGCCCGGGAGTGCCCAGCATCTATCCGAGTCTAGCGTTCCAGGAAGACACGTGCAACAAGGGGCTTCAAGATTTAGAGCAGATAAATTCCCGCATTCGTTGCTTCAGGACCTTAAGGTTGAAGAGCTTCAGGCCTGCACTAAAACAGGTCATCCCCACCAATCGGCTTCAAAGCTAGGCTTTGGATGAGGCATGTTCCTTATTCGCGGTCCTGCGGCACAAGAGATTCGTGGCCTCATCCAGTCCTCCCTTAAAACAGGAAAAACAACACCAGTCACAAGAGAAGTGTATGCCGCCAAGGCAAATATCAGATCCTTACTCTGACTGCAGAAGGGCTCGGAGTTCTGGAGAAAGTTGATGGCGGCAGCAGTGGGCTCAGAGCATATGCTGTTGTTGAGACCCCGAAGCCTCTGCAAGCAGGCACCGCACGCAGGTTGCCGCAAGCTGCGATGATGAAAAGAAAGGCCAACACGGAACTCTCGGGCGGTGGGAGCAAATGCCAGGGGACACGGAAGTTGGCCCCTGCTGCTTCCAAGATTCTCAACGGACCTCTCAGTGGTAGAAGCAATGGAAGAGAGAGTGGCCCTGGCTTCCAAAACCAAGCCTAAGACAGGGAGGGCAGCCATGGCAAGATGCCACCGAGAAGCTGGGCCTGTCGTGAAGTCAAACACTTGCAACAAGGACCAGGAAGAGTAACGCGACAAGGTCAGGGCCAGAGATCTGGTGTGGAATGGGAAAAGTGCAATGGAAACAACACGCTGCCCAAACTGGGCTACGGTTACATAATTTTCGGCAGATGATTGATCGGAATTTGTGCTGCATCTGACGACGCAGCTGCACGTTTAGGTCAGGCTCATGTCCAGTGAACAATGCGCAACAAGTGCTTTCGGATCCATATCCTTCTTCCCGGCTTGCGCCGAAGGTACTCCAAAGGCGCGACAAGCTCTCAGGAGTTGTCATTGAGCCAGTGCAGATTGTGTAGCTACAGATGCAGTTGTTGCAGAGTGGCTCGTTCGGTGGTTTGGTTAGGATCATCATGACGCGCGAGTGATGGATCTGTGGGGCAGGTCAACTTGCCGGTGAACCATGCCTTCCGCCAGTTGATGGTCGGCCGTGCTGCAAAGATGAAGAAGATGACGACCAAGAAAGCTGTGAAGACAGCCAAGGTCTGTTTCTCCGAGTTGGTCCAAGTGCCACCCCCTGCAGCATAACAGAGCTCAGGAGTCGTCCCCTAAGAGCCAGAAGGTCTCAGATCAGCAAGAGGCACAGCAGGGAGACGAAGCTGGTTTGTTCTAAGTGTGTTTTTGTATATTGCTTCGTTCTCAGTTCGTTCACAGCAAGTCAAGTGGCCGTAGAATGTGGTACGTCGCTTCCTGCGGCCAGGAACAGTTCAATGAAAAGCTCGAACAGTGTAAGAGCTTCTGGAATCGCCATGAACGATGGCCCAAAGCATGCTGCTTGGCTGAACGACTAAGAAACGGACACGGCTAGGGTCGTGGCGGTTAGGGTCGTGGCGCAGCCGTGGTTGGATATCTCACGGAGGGAAACGGAAGATTCAACATGCTTGAAACTCACTACGGCGCTTGTGGTGGATTTCGGCCTTTCGAGATCACAAGGCGGCTCACCATGCGCCCAGCTGGCCTCTGTTAGCATTAGAAGGATGCTGATGCTGCCGATGCTCGTCTTGCTCCGCGAACAAGTGCGAGACTGGCAAGGATGCCCGCCGACGAAAACAGGGGCTGATGCCTGGGGCGGCAACACCACAGCAACACCCATGAAGACACGCGACAACGCCACCATGCACATGCACGTGTGCGCTGTCGAAGGCGCTTGTTCACGTCTTGTCAGTAAATCCACGCAGTTTTCATGGGGCCCTCCCATTGGAGCTCGATTCGCTGCGCGCTGTTAGACTTGCAGGCAGCGCGGTAGCACTTTCGGCAGAGTCAGAGTGACGACAAGTGTACTCTGAGCCTTTAAGACTTTCAGGGTGGAGAGAACACATAGGTTGGGTGACCAGACTATGCAAGGCCCGCCAGAGAGGACCTTGTACGACTGGTTGCGTCGCCAGCAACGTGCCAGAGATGGTGGGAAGCTGACTGCAGATCGACTTCAGAAATGCCTGGAGGTCCCCGAGATCGCAAGGCTCACGTGCTTCAGAGCCCCTGTTCAATCAATCTGGACGTTCTTGGAGCTGTGCAGGCGTTGGGCAGAACAGGCGACTTCTCACAGTCGGCAGCATCGTATCTCGGAAAATGTGCACTCTGTGCTGGTTTTGCTAGCTGCTTTCGGGCAGGCTCAACCTTCCTGAGAGCGTACGGCATGGATCCATCACGGCGCTCTGATGTTGAGTGCCCTGCCACTCAAAATTCAAAGAGCCCCTCTGTTCAAGAATGGGACTCCGTCCCTCCTCGCCCTGCAGGCTCAGATTGCTTCCGCCCTAATTCGACTGTTGCAATTCATTTCAAGCAGGAACTGCAGGCTACCATCGAGCCATATCGAGCCGATCATGTCTATTGAGTCTGTTGAGATTTGAGAAGCTGCAGTGCCCGCGCATGTTTTGCATGCTGTAGTCAATGTCACAAATTCCGGAGAGCTTGGGTCGCAAACGGCGAGTTTTCGACCCGCTGTGCTAGCACAATGACAATGGTCTAGATCAGCTGACGCAGCGTTTGTTTCAGATCCGTTGTGCTAAAACATGCTGAGCTCGGGCTAGGATGGGCAGGCTTGGTCCTTGGTTGTTGCCATTTCTTGGCCATCTTTAGGGCGCGCTGCGCATCTTACAGGAAGCTCCTGTACTTCAAGGACGTTGACCAGGAGACCTTGCAGAAGCTCATAGCTGCCATGGAGGCCACAGCTTTGCAGGTTCAAAGGCGAGCAAAAGGCAAGCAAGCAGAAACTCAAATAAGCACACGCGCACACGTAAACACCAAAAAACACGCAGCTTCATATTGCACGTGAGAGCCTTCTTGCTCTGATTGGTTTCTTTCTAGTTGCCATTTTGATGTAGGCGCTGGCTTACGTCGTTTTGGAGAGGTGTCCATGCACGTTTGCGTGTGCGTGTTAGCGTGTTAGCGTGCGCGTGCGCGTGTGCGCGTGTGCGTGCGTGCGTGCGTGGGTGTGTGAGACCAGGCAGATGCAAGCCTTGATGCATGAACAAATTGGCACATCCGCAGCTGTGACAAGTCAGTCCTTTGCCTGAAGCCCGCCAGCTCTGCGAAAAGCAATGCCCTGGAAGGTCTTCCGGTTCCCAGACGGCACGCAAGTCTCGCGACAGGGAAGCTTCCGAGGCCCTAATTTGCACCAACCTTGCATGGGGTTTCTGAGATTTTGTGAGGGAATCCAATAAGCATAAGCGGCCCCTTGCATGAACCACGAAAATCTGCACATTAAAAACTCAGTGGCTGGCCAAACGGTCTAGAGCTCACATCCCATGCACAAGCCGCAACTTCAGTTGTTCGGACATGTCCGGCGAGCAGTTCCCGAAACGTTCCCACACAGCAGCAAGCAAGCACCAAGTGCCAACCCGTTGCGAAAGTGAGGTATAGTCAGGTGGCTTTGCTGAATGGTGATCGTCTGCTGCAGGTACCCACTTCTTCATTGTGTCGAAGGGCACCTTGGTGGTCTTGAGGTCCTACCTGCATCCGCTTTGCGAAGTACTAGCTGCCAGCGACTGGCTGTGGAAAGGAACGGCGAGACGAAGTCGGAGATCACTACAGGTCGAGAGCTCCAGTCAATGTTCGGCAAGAGCGCCGTGTAATCAAGCCGAGATGTCTAAACGATCCAGGCTTTGTGTCGTCCGCAGGGTGAGCGACTCGTTCCTTCGTTTCGCAGGTGCCGCTTTCGGTGAGAACGTGATCCTCATGTCAGGTGCACAAGATGCCACAATTCAAGCAAAAGGAGCCCACGTGCATCTATGCGGTGTTTGCGATCTGTTTTAGTTTTCTAGTTTTCCGGGCTTCTTATTGCAAGACAGCGAAGGTAATGTTGGATTCCCTTTGACACAGCATCCGGACTCCCCCGTTTCCCTGGGACTCAGCCCCGAACCAGGGCTTCAGGGCTTGGCCTCCCGAAAAGATATGCACACGGTACACGCACTGCACGCATCCCAAAGCAACTGAGGGCGGATCCTGAGTAAGTGCAAACACTACAGTCACCGCATGTTGGTTAGCTAGGAAAGAAGTACTGTAGGGTTCGCAAAGATCAAGTGCACCGATGTGCACCGGTCTGGCTATAAGCTGCAGGAGAAGTGGAGATTTATGGCATGCATGGGGCAAAGACTCGCGCTCTTTTTGCTGAGCAGTATCAGCTTGCGCCTCGAAGTTAGTGGTTGTTGTCAAGTTCAGACTTGCCCTGCTTCCCAACACAATCTTGGACTCAGGCGGGAACGGGGTCAGGCCAGCAGCGCGGTGAACGAAGCGCTCAGCGGTGAACCCGGCAACCGTGAAATGAGCATAATTAGCACAAAGGCCCACTGTTGCTAGACCGAGTGTGGGCGCGGGCATACTGAAGAAAGTCACCTAGAGAGCCTATAGATGCCTAGATTGAGGCTGGCTGTGCAGTTCACAGCGTGTTCTTGGACCGTTCCATATTCCCCACGGCAAGGTTCGGATTCTTGCTGGCTGCTGCGCAAGCTCACACCCTACCAGGCGACTGCACGTTGCCCTGACCATGGCTTTTGTGGGTTGCTCATGTTCTCGCTGCGAGCTTCGCTGAACCCTCTCAGATGCAATGCCTGTTCGACAAAGTGTGAGCCTGAGATTTATCTAAACCTCGTGGCTTCGCAGCTTGTGGCCAGAAAGTGACCAATGTGGTCTGGCTGAATCGACTGCCTCTTGCGCTTTCTTGGCAGGTCAACGTTCTTGGCTTCGAGAACGGTGCCACCATTTTAGAAGCTGGCCAGAAGGTGCCTTTGCGATCCGCATGAGTTTCGACATGCACTTGGGCCACCTTGGTGCTTGCTGGCAGGAATCTGCGGACCTGCACATCGTCTTGCAGGGCCAGGTGCGTCCCCAATTATCTCTCCATCGCTTAGCGCACGTCTTGCAAGCATCATGCGCAGAAGCACGTGGCTTTGGCAAGGTCTCCCTAATCGAGCCCGGAGGCATGTCTTTTCAGCGCTCGATCAGCGGGCCCGTGCTGCCTTGCGGATCCTTGACATGCTTGTGTTACATGCTTCGCAGGGCAAGAAGTTGCAGTGGTGGAGCGTTCGGGCCCCGAGAAAACGCTGCGGCCGACAAGTTTTGCAAGTCTGGAAAGGGAACTTGATCCAAGGCATGGGGGTAGTTGGCGACGGCGGCTTGCTGTGCCAGGCGACTCACCTGCCCCATGTTTTACAAGCAGAAGAGTCACGGCACTGAGCTTTTGTTGAGGAGGAAGCCTGCAGAGCTGTGGCCTGTGGAACTGCCAGCCGCTCAGTGTTTGGCAATTGCGCACTTGCGTTGCGGCCTCCTTCGAAGTGAAGTATCGAATGCCTTTGAGGTGCAGACGCTTGTTCTAGACAAGACTCTCCTTGAACAAATGCCGCAGCCTCATGTGACCCTCATCTGACGCTCATGTTCCAGCCGCTACAAGCCGCCGTCGCGTGTACTGCAACGTGTGTGCACTTCGGGCCCTGAAATACACCCAAACTGCTCTACTCCTTTCTTTCGACATCGACATCAAAAGGGCATGGCAGTGCCCTGAAAAAGGCCAAGCATGGCCAAGTCAAGTCTGCACCGCGTCCCAGCGGGGAGTAATCAATCGGTTGGCATGTGCAATTACGTGCTTCGCGCGGAGCGCGTGTGATACGGTGATACGTTTACCTCCTTGACTGCGAGGTTCGGGTCAAGCCTTGAGGAGACGGTGATCCGATCGCGGATACTGGATACCCTGAGGCAACAGGAGGACTGCCGGAAGCTCTGTCCAAGCAAACGTGAAGAAACATGCGTTCTGAAATTGAACTTTGGTCATGTGCTATTCGCACGCTCTAGGGTACAGGTTGATCCCAACTGTACACTTCTGGGGGGCATCGCTGTCAACCCCTGCCAATGTTATTGCCAGGGCCTTCGATGTTTTTACGGGAAGCAAAGATACCACTCAGACTGAGCTGATAAACAGGACCTGATCCACTTGCGTGTAGACCAGCTCGATGGCCTCGCGAGCCTTTGCGAGGCGTTTCTGCCCATCTGCGTTTCTGCACAGTGAAGCTGTACGTGTAGTAGCTTAGCAAGTCAACCTGGTGTAGACTTCGTTTTGGAGAAGCCTCTGTTGCCAGTTCCCACTCTGTGGTTCTATTACTGGTGGGGACTCACTATGCTTGTAGTGATAAGATCTGCTGCGCTGGCATGCGTGCGCTACAGCACACCGGAAGCACCGCATGCGCCTGCAAGGTCATCGACATGCAGCCAGGCATGTCTATCGAAAGGCGCATCTTCGTGTGCGAGAGCTGTTTGCTGCATGGCCCTGAGGTAGCTTGTGGCCCTGCGATTCAGGTCCACTTTCCGGCTGGGCTTCAGCTTAGCTGGGCCTGCAGAGGCTCAGCGAAGCATCTCGACAATCCATCCTAGTAGCCAAAGTGTTTGCGAAGACCCTGCTCGATGGAGGCCACGCTCGTAGACAGGGACGGAAATGTTCCAAGCCCAGATTTACCAGCTCCCAACATGTCCCGTTGGCCCCAATATGCCGCCATGTGTGAGACAGCAGTGAGATGGCATGAAGCACAAGAGACGGCTTGAGGCTCGCCATCCTGTGCAGCTCAGCGCTAGAGGCTCCGAAGTCCAGGGGGTGGAGAATTGATGCTGAGGCTTTGTATGGTGTAGGGAGAGAGGGGGGAAGGAAGGATGATCCATTCCGGGAGCTGACATGAGTTCAGTGAGGGCTCGGGGGACCAGGGAGAGCTGACGTCAGGCAAAGTTCTGCATCCAGAGGATGCCGACCTGGAAGGGGACAGGCCGGGCGAAGCTGCGATCCGGGGATGTCCGACACATTCCTTCAACCTCGGGCATAGTCCGACGACTGCAGGTGGTCCTTAGGAAGACACTGGGAAGCACACGGGGCTCCAGGTCACCGATGGTCCGCTTGAGACTTGCGCCAGCTGCGTGGCTGCCTGAGTTTCCTTTGTGGGCATCCGGGGCCTAAAAAAGCATTGCCCAGGCATGCCCATGTACCCTCTCTCTTCAGGACAAAGGCGGCGAAACTGGCGCTTTGGTCAGGCCAGTTCTGGCACCTGTCTCACAGTCCTTGATGTCGTTGGTTCCCAGGAGGGGAGTCCTCACACTTCTGCCACGACTACGATGATCGCGGATCGCTTTCGCCAGGCCGACCGGTCGCGGTCTTCTTGGAGGTCGTCCGCCGAAAGAAGCGAGCTAGCTCCAGCCGGGAACCAAGACGGAAGAACGTGGAACGTTGAAAGCGTTTGAAACCTCCAAATCCATATCTGCGCGATGAGGTCCCGACATCTCACCCATGAGTACCGCCAGTGAGGTGCGGCCTTGTCCAAGCCTCTTGAAGCTTTTGTGTGTGTGTGTGTGTGTGTGTGTGTGTGTGTGTCTGTGTGTCTGTGTGTCTGTGTGCCTGTGTGTCTGTGTGTCTGTGTGCCTGTGTGCCTGTGTGTCTGTGTGTCTGTGTGTCTGTGTGTCTGTGTGTCTGTGTGTCTGTGTGTCTGTGTGTCTGTGTGTCTGTGTGTGTGTGCAGTGCCCATATATAATTATAAGTATAAATAAAATATAAATATAAATGCGACATATATTTATATACAAATACAAATATACATAAATTAAATACATTAAGTAAATACAAAACAAATAAATAAGTAAATACATGTATATATATATATATATATACATACAGCAGAGATCGCAACGGGACAGCTTGCTGCGCCAGCATCGCGCGCGGTCACCATCGATGAGACTAGCTGTTCTCTCGGATGACAAGGCGACCTTGGTGTTTATGACAGGGCTTTCTTCAGTGTTGCTGCCACTTCCTTGCCTGCGTGAACCTGCCCATCACTCCACCTTGAGCTGCTCTTGTGCGACTCTTGTACACTTCCAATTCCTTGAGCCAATAACTTTGCCGACCCTTCTCTCCAAAAGAAAGCTCGCGCAAAAGAAAGGTCGGGGCGCTGCGAAAAGTCGTGGTCTTCCGGGCGCTGGCACCCGACCAGCTCCACAGGCTCGCAGAGGCGCTGGAGGCCACCCGGAGAGGGAGAGGGCTCTTCCGAGTAGCTGGGCTGCTTCTTAGGTAAGGATTGGGGGGAGTGAGATACCCCAAAATACTCCCTGAAAAGGTAAATAAATAAATAAATAAATAAATAAATATATGGTACCCCCCCCCATATGCCCACACTTTTTCCTCTCAGGTGCCATGGTAGGGTTTAGAGGCTTAGGATTTCGAAGCCTCCGAGGGCAGCGAGCACGAAAGCGCTCTACTGTACCAATGTTTTAGGCCCAGAAGAGCAAAAACGCTGTCCCAAAAAAACCAATCTTTTTAAGCAAAAACAAGCAAAAATGCCGTACTGTCCCAAAAAAACCAAAAAAACCAAAGTTTGGAGACCTCCAGGCCCTGGAGGAGCCCAAGGTCTCCAAACTTTGGTTTTTTTGGTTTTTTTGGGACAGTACAGCATTTTTGCACTTTTTGCCTTAAAAAGATTGGTTTTTTTGGGACAGTACAGCACTTTCGAGGCCTGGGACTGCAAAAACGCTGCAGTGTCCCAAAAAAACCAATCTTTGTAAGCCAAAACAAGCAAAAATGCCGTACTGTCCCAAAAAAACCAAAAAAACCAAAGTTTGGAGACCTCCAGGCCCTGAAGGAGCCCAAGGTCTCCAAACTTTGGTTTTTTTGGTTTTTTTGGGACAGTACAGCATTTTTGCACTTTTTGCCTTGAAAAGATTGGTTTTTTTGGGACAGTACAGCACTTTCGAGGCCTGGGACTGCAAAAACGCTGTACTGTCCCAAAAAAACCAATCTTTGTAAGCCAAAACAAGCAAAAATGCCGTACTGTCCCAAAAAAACCAAAAAAACCAAAGTTTGGAGACCTCCAGGCCCTGAAGGAGCCCAAGGTCTCCAAACTTTGGTTTTTTTGGGTTTCTTTGGGACAGTACAGCATTTTTGCACTTCTTGCCTTAAAAAGATTGGTTTTTTTGGGACAGTACAGCACTTTCGAGGCCTGGGACTGCAAAAACGCTGCACTGTTCCAAAAAAACCAATCTTGGTAAGCCAAAACAAGCAAAAATGCCGTACTGTCCCAAAAAAACCAAAAAAACCAAAGTTTGGAGACCTCCAGGCCCTGAAGGAGCCCAAGGTCTCCAAACTTTGTTTTTTTTTGGTTTTTTTGGGACAGTACAGCATTTTTGCACTTCTTGCCTTGAAAAGATTGGTTTTTTTGGGACAGTACAGCACTTTCGAGGCCTGAAACTGCAAAAACGCTGTACTGTCCCAAAAAAACCAATCTGTTAAGCCGATTCATATTATTTTATACAGGAGTCGGATTGGTTCCTATTTATTTAGCAAGGTTCCTTCTCATTTTAAAAGGCTTCCTATGAATTATAACCGGTTCTTTTCAATTTGGTAAGGGTTCCTATTCATTTTCATAGGCTTCCTATTAACTTTCACCGGTTCCGAAATAATATTGGCAGGATTCCTATGAGTCAATAGAGGATTCCTATTTATTTTTATAGGATTCCAATAAAGTTTCATAGGGTTCCTAATTCTTTTAATAAGGCTCCTACTCATGTAATCAAATTCCTATCAAGTTTAATCAGATGCTTATTCATGTTAATGGGATTCGTATTTATTTTAATAGGGATCTCATTCGTTTGAAAGGGATACCGATTGGTTTAGGCTCATATTAATTTTAGTAGGATTCCTACTATTTAGGGGTTCACACTTGTTTTTTATAGGAGTCCCATTGGTTCCTATTAATTTTAGTAGGGGCCCTCTTCAGTTTATTAGGATTGCTATCAAGTATAATTCGGTTCTACTTTTTCTAGGGTTCCTATGGATTGAAATAGAGGATTCCTGTTTGTCTGCGTATAAGATCCCAATACATTTCCATAGTTTGCCGAATTATTTTAATAAGGCTCCTACAAATGTAATATGATTCCTATCAATTTTAAATAGGATTCTGTCATTTGAAGAGGGTTCCCATAGAATTTAATAGAATTAAGGGTTCTCATTCCTATTAATGGGTTTCCTTTTCATTTTTATAAGATTCCTATTGAAACAAGATGAATCCTATGAACCCAATTTAATTTGATAGGAACGCTATTCACATGCATAGGATTTCTATTTAAACTCATAGCATGCAATCCACAATCTCGAGCAAATTGTTCAGGTCACTTCTGCTGGAGTTTTATGGGAGTTCCTCCCCGCTTTAAAAACCACCGCGGGTGGCGGAACGTAGTATTTTTGTCTGGAAACCATGCTGAAGCGTGGGCGCATGGGGGGGGGGTAGCAAATATATATATATATATCATGCCCTACTAAGAATCAGAGGGATAAACGGGCTCCTACAAAGGGTCCTGGCCGTTGGTTACTTTTGGGGCACGACGGCAGGAAGCCGGAAGAACGAATAAGAGGGGCTTTAGCAGAACTTTATTTCGCGTTGACGTATGGAAGTCTGTGTGGGGTCTTCCGAAACTGGGGCGGTTGCCTCCGCGACAGTTCTGCTGCTGATGTTTTATTCCCGAAAGCATCGCGAAGGGTTCTTCCGTGCGGAGCCCTCTGACCCAACAACATAGACTGAAGTGCATAGAGTGAAGTGCACAGAGTGAAGTGCAAAGAGTGAAGTACACAGAGTCAAGTGCATAGAGTGAAGTGCACAGAGTGAAGTGCAAAGAGTCAAGTGCATAGAGTGAAGTGCATAGAGTGAAGTGCATAGAGTGAAGTGCACGGAGTGAAGTGCATAGAGTCAAGTGCATTTCTATTACTGCAAGTCTATTACTCTTTCTAATTAAAATTACTCTTTCTAAGGCGGCGGGCTGGGTTGACATCGCCAATCGGGATTGCAACCCTCTGCGGGTTTCGGCGTGGTCGCGGTGCTAAAACCGTCGTTTTTTTACGTTTCTTTCTGGCCGCGGACAACCCTCTGCGGGTTTCGGCGTGGTCGCGGTGCTAAAACCGTCGTTTTTTTACGTTTCTTTCTGGCCGCGGACAACCCTCTGCGGGTTTCGGCGTGGTCGCGGTGCTAAAACCGTCGTTTTTTTACGTTTCTTTCTGGCCGCGGACAACCCTCTGCGGGTTTCGGCGTGGTCGCGGTGCCAAAACCGTCGTTTTTTTACGTTTCTTTGTGTCCGCGGACAACCCTCTGCGGGTTTCGGCGTGGTCGCGGTGCTAAAACCATCGTTTTTTTTTACATTTCTATCTGGCCGCGGACAACCCTCTGCGGGTAATCGCCGGGTCGCGGTGCAAAAACCGTCGTGTTTGGTACTTGTTTTCGTGGGCGCAGACAACCCTCTGCGGGTTTCGGCGTTGGCGCGGTGCCAAAACCGTCGTGTTTTTGCGTTTTTTGACATACAAACGTAACCCCTCCAACGGGTTTCGGCGTTGGCGCGGTGCCAAAACCATCGTGTTTTTGCATTTCTTGACATGCAACCGTAACCCCTCTGCGGGTTTTCGCGTGGTCGCGGTGCGAAAACCGTAGTGTTTTTGCGTTTTTTTGTCGACTTGTGTAGTACAGACGTAGTACGCCGGGGACTTCCGTGGCTGGAAAATCGAGTTTTGTAGTAAAAATGTAGTACGCCGGGGACGCCCGGAGCTTCCGTGGCTGGAAAGTCGACTTTTGTAGTACAAACGTAGAACACTGACGGCTCTCACGTTAGATAGTCTTTTCTTGCATGGCTTCGCACGGATAAGACTTATTAAGACTTCCTGGAAGGCGCGCTGGACTATGAGCTTGGACTTCAGAGCGACTGCCGATGATGCTCATGGCTGACGGCTCTCGCGTCGAATGCTTTTTGCTTTTTTCTCTTTTCTTTCATGGCTTCGCGTGGATTGGACGTGCGCAGTCGAGTCGGGTGCAGACAAGTGAAGTTCATACAGTTGCTCAAGTGCAATAAGTTTAACAAATGTCGAGTTCAAGTCCGTTAACTCCGCTAACCTCAGATGTAGTGAAGGCCGATGAAGTGTATACAGTTAACCACAAGTGCATGGCATTCAACGGCACACACTTGAATGCCATGCAGTTCCAGTGCATACACGTCCACTAGACTAGTGCAGTGTACAAGTGACTATACAACCATGTAAGTGCATACATTTCTCCAAGTGCATACACTTCGAGTGCAAAGAGTCAACTGCATGGAGTCAACGCACGGCAAATCGATGCTTTCGGGCCATCCCTCTTCTAGTTGTTGGTTCCCTTCATGCTGCTTTGGGAATCTGTCGCCTTGACGAGTAGGATGGGCGCCGGGCCACTCGCCAGGTCATCAAGATGAAGCCCGGTGATATGGTCTTCAACCAGGGTGGCTCGGCTATGGCTTGGCTGGCCCCTGCATGAACACTGAGTGCTGCAACTGCTGTGGTCATTCCGAAGGTGAACCTGGTCAGGAGTTCTACATCATCCATACAGGATTGCTAGAGGTGCAACTCGCGCATATACCAGACATAACCGCAAAGCATTTATCTGTCAGAGAGAGAGAGAGAGAGAGAGAGATAGATTGTGCGAGAGAGAGAGGGGCAGAGAGCGTGAGCGAGTTTACTCGGTGATGCTTATGTACCAGGCTCCCGGAATTCTCACGCGGCCGAGCAACGTAAGACATCCAGGGCGCGGAAGGTAACCGGTTGTAACAGGGTGGAGGGGAGGGGAAATTCTGCCCGCATAGATGTCTTCAGTCTCAGTCGCCACCTGGACTGTGGGCAAGCTGGGCACGCTTCGTCGGGGGGGGGGGTGGGGCCGCTCCCCTCAAGCCCCGTAGAAGAACAGAGAGAGCGAGAGAAAGAGTGAGAGAGGGAGAGAGGGAGAAAGGGAGAAAGGGAGAGACCCACGGGGACATAGCCTCCGGCGCGCCAACCAAGTGCGTGGAGGTTCGTCTTCCAAGCCTGAATGAAAGAAAGAGAAAGACGACACGGACTCGCCACGCAAGCACCCGGCGGCCCCTTCGGGGGCCAAGCGTGCAGGAAGGAAGCAAGGTAGGTAGGAAGGCAGGAAGGATTGTAGTTCCAAAATGCACAGTTCCGAGAAGGGGTGCGCACCGCGCAGGGGTCACTCAGTCACTCCGCTAAGCCCCGTGAAAGAAAGCAAAGAAGGAAAGAAAGAAACAAAGGAGGGAGAGGGAGAGGTGTCCATAGCCAACCCCCGCTGTGAGCACCACGACGCTGCCACGAGAGGCTCGACCCGGTCCGGTCCAGCCGCCCATCCCCCTTTCAGTAGGCGCAACACAGGCATTGTGGCGGCGGTACCTTTTCCGATTGCCCGCCCTGAAGGCAGACCTTTCTCGAACCTTTGCATCCCCCGGGAGGGCGGGGGGGGGGGGGGGGGGGGGGGGGTGGATGGGGGGCTGGGGGTGTGCATAGGCGACGTATGGCGACGGTAATCGGTGGTAGCCCTGAGGACCACAAGAACCGTGCTGGAAGGAACAATCCAAATCGATGTCGCAGAAAGACTCATTGGAAGCCTGAATGTTTGGCACAGGAAGGTAGGGAAATTTGGGGGCATGAATGTCCCAAGCCGTTACCCTTATATCGCACCCACCAAAACACAGTAAGGGGGCTTCATGCCTTCAGTTTGACCGCGCCTGCATGTGGGTTGGGGCCTCCGGCCCCCATGCCCCAAGAAGAAAGAGACTGGAGATGTGGGTGCAGTTATTCATGGACGCACGAAGCACTGTCGTTTGACTCAGATTCGGGTGCGCTTGCGAATGTGATGCCAGGTTTCCATAGACGGTCGGAAAGTGCGCACGCTGGGCATGGGAGACTATGTTGGCCGCATGCTTAGTACGCATGCATCGTGCTCTTCGTACCACAAGCTGAGAATCCTGAAGCCGCATTTAAGCAAGGTGAGAGAGCGCTGCTCTTTCATGGTCCCCGCACAGCAACGGTCAAAGTCGTAGAGGCCGTGAGACTTCTTTCGCGACACCCTCTGTGGTTGAACAACATGACACAGGACTGTGAGCTTTGGATGATGGGCTTCGATGACTTCAATCAGGCGAAACTTCTTAGTTAATGCGAGCCTCTCAGTACCTGCGGTGGTCAAAGTTCAGCAGCTCTGCCCACCAGGCCGTGCAGGGTCCAATCCTGGAGTACATGAAGGCGAAATTGCAAGCCATGCAAACGTAGAGCCTCCCCTGACCATAGCTCGCGGGTGCGCGCGCCCGAATGAACAAAAACCAGGCACGCATCGCCCTGCAGAACACCAAGATCGACCTAGAGTCGCCATCTTGGGAGATGCCAAGTAGCGGTCAGTTCATCCAAACCGAGCCAGTACTCTAATTATAGTGGCAATAAGCTTGCTTTTGTTGCTCTCGTGTGTGCGTGCGCCGAGTTCCCTGACGTGCCTGCGCGTGATCGGGAGAGGAGGATTTGGAGTTGTCAAGATGGCCGGCAGCCCAGCATGCACACGCGCACACACAGTCTTTTTAGTAGCCAATCGAGCAGATCGAGATCACGGTTGCCCAGGTTCAGTCCAAGACCAGCGACACCAGGCTTGTAATATCTTGTCATGTGTCGTTGAGGCCGACTTCGAAACCATTCGTTCTCTGCGCTGCGCAGGTATGCTCTAAAATGCGTTAGCAAGAAGCAAGCTGCCGCGTGCTCATTTTGTTTCAGCGGCATCAGGACGCGCATCGCCAACTGTGAGGTGAAGAAAAGTCAGTGAACGGACAAAGTTGTGAATGCGACTCTGTCTTCTGACAGCCTACGGGAATTTGACTGTACCAAGGTTGAGCAAAAGCAGCAAAAAGCGCTTGCGCACGAGCGAAACATCCTGGCAGAACTGGACAGGGATGCGTGATGCTGGTGGCACTGGCACTCAAATTTGGCCATCGCAAGGCAGGCAGAAAGGGCCTGTTTTGTGCAGAGCTTGGTTCTCGTGCGAGGACCACCCCTTCATCATCAAGTTCGTGCGGTCCTTCAATAGCTCAATGCTCAGCTTGACTTGTCAGGCTGTGGTGAGGGAAAACTCGCGAACTTTGACAGGTGCTCGACACGTGTACTTCCTCACAGAGCTTGCAGCGGCCTTAGATACTCAGGTGGCCTTGATCTGTGAGTTCACGGCAATAAGGGACCCTTACAATGGACTCCCAAAATAGTAGGATTCCCTTATCATAAGGACCCCAAGAAGGTACCTCCGAATTTCGGAAACCGCCATGTGAGTTTGATCTTATGTTCTGTCCGGTGAGGTCACAGGAGGAGAGCTGCTGGATGCCTTGGACGCCTTAGGCAAGCCGGGACAAAGTGGAGAACTCTTGGCCCAAGGGCCACCCCAGGGGTCCTCACTTGATGCACACATGAGTGCATGAGTGCAGACATGAGTGCAGAGATGAGAGGCCTTCTTCAAGCGCCACAGGCCAGATGAAAACGATATGAAAAGATGACGAAGTTTCCTAAGGGTTGCACACGTCGCGCTGCTAGGCCCAGTTCTACTCTGCGTCGATCATCCTGGCTTTGGAGCTTGGCACTCTGTGTGACTCACCCTGTGACGTGCTTTTTGAGTAACGCTGGCGCACGCTCGGCCGAGGTTCTTGCATGAACGCAGAATAGCATATCTTGATTTGAAAGGCCGGTGTAGCATATCGAGGCTGTGCGAGTGGACCATGCTTCCTGTCAATTCTTCTTTGCAGGGGAGAACTGCCTCATTGATCAGCACGGCTACCTGAAGATAATCGACTTCGGAGTAGCTGAGCGGGTGCATGGGGCATGTGGATGGAGCTTTGTCTTTCATTCACCAAGCCAAAAAGTGATGGCCCTGCCAGATCACTGATGGTCGAATTTATGCCGTCTGGGCCTCCAGCAGCAGTTTCCTTCTCACGCACTTCACCACGCGAACCTCGAAGCCAGGCTTGTCCAATTGGGTGCCCAGCCATGCCAAGGTGAAGGGGACGCCGCTTTTCATGGCGCCCGAGGCCACCGGATCGCACGGGCTCGGACACCTTCCGGTCGTCCCTGTTCCTATGGCATGTCTGAATGCAGGGCTCAGAAGCCGCAAACACAAGCTGTTGCTACGCTGCGCGTATGAGCTGTGCAGGTAATCCTTGGAAAAGGCCTTGACCTCAGTTGGTGCATGTATGGCAGAGATACCTGAAGGTTTGCATCTTACACCGTGAGAAGGCATACAGTAAGCTGAGCCAGGGAGCGCTACTACATGCATTTGTACGATGTTGCGCAGTATAGTCTCGCAGTTTACATACTTCCTGGAATTGTATTCGGCCTTCGACACCTCAGCTGTTCCTGCCTTGTTACGTGGACTGAAGCAGCCTGCTGAGGCTACACCACCTCAGCTGACCTCTGGAGTCTTGGCGTTTGCCTCTTTGCCGCCTGGGCATGTTTGCCGAGATCTTGACAGGGTTGTGCTTGCTGGTTTGGGCCCTTGTGAAGCAAGCATATAGCCCTTCTGTCCAGCTGTTTGCCTGAATTGGGGGGTGGGCGCAGTCCGGGGAGGTTGACGGTATATCGTTTTCGGCATATCGTTTTCGAAGCCAGTTCGTGCAGCCACGACCGTCCAAAGCCTTGCCTTCAATTGCCATTGAAACCCATAATTCACCAGTTGACCTGGGTTCTGTCTTGGCTAAGCCATTTGTCCGTCTGCGTGTGGGAGGCATCACAATTTCAGCATGTGACTGGTTGTCCATTTTCCCACAGCTTCAGCTCGGGTCGTGATTTTAACTCAAGTACAGACCTGCGACAAGAACTTGCATCGGTAAAAGATGGCATCTTCGGCACCGTCAGTAAAGCACTCGCCTCATACGCGGACGCACAGCTGTAAGCTTAAAGGGATGTTAGAGGGATGTTAGGGACACCCTAAACTTTACCCTAAACCCTAAACCCTAAAAAAGCAACCCTAAACCCTAAACCCTAAAACCTATGGTGGCGAAACCCTAAACCGATGTTAGGGGCATTTAGGAACCCTTGTGGCAGCGCTGGCACCCTCATGGGCTTGGAGCCCGGCATGGCCAGGACTTCATGGTCGGCTCGTTCCCTTTTGGAGACGATCAGGCGAGCAACGCCGAGGCCACAAAGGATTCCCGTAGCCCCTTTCATGACCCTTTCGCATGACCCTTTCACATGATCCTTTCATGAAGTAGTGACGCCAAGATCTAGCTCTTCGACCTTAGCATTTGGTGGATGTTGGCACCTGTCAGATCTTCAAAGCCGTCCTCAAGGCGCCACTGAAGTTCCCGAAATGGCTCGGCGTGCACGAGAAGGCCAAGCATGCCTGGAATACTGAGGGTGGGGGTCACCACCCACTGCATCCTGCCGCCAGGATGCCAAGGAGCTCATGAAGGCTCTGCTGCCGGGGCCTCGCCTTGTGTGCATCCTGCTGGCGTGGCATTGCAATTGTGGGTCCTCGTGGCTCCCTGTTGACCCTGGAGCCCCGTCGCACGTACATGGGGCTCTTTCCAGGATACCTGGGGTGCAGATGTCAGAAAAAAGGCTGATCAATCTGGATTCGTATAGAGGCTAGTTGCAGAGATGCTACGGCTATGATGCCGTGCATGGTGCCTGCGTTTGCTGGTGCCTAATGCTGGCAGTTGGTCCAGTGTGGCTGCCGGACTGCATAAAGCAAACTTGCGAGTGCATCGCAACGCTTTGGAACGAAAAAACCCCAAACCCCAAACCCCAAACCCTAAACCCTAAACCGCAGCTTTGGCCAGTCGGGTGGCAAAAAAAACCGCGCCGAGGTGCAGGGATCCTGCCAAGCGCCTTGGGGCCGGGCAGCGGGGCTACGAAGAGCTGAAGGACAAGGGGGGAAGACGCTTCGACTTCTGGTTTAGGGTTTAGGGATGTTTAGGGATGTTTAGGGTTTAAAGCTCTCAAAAAGTGCTTGGAGTCTGGCTTGCCTTCAGTCCAGTGGCAAGAAAGGGTTTACGGTTTAGGGAGGTTCATGGCATCTGCAGGAATCTGCAGGTGCCAAGCTGTCAGGCTGCTTCTAGGGCCTTGGTGCCTCGAATCTCTGCAGCATCTTTACAATCGCACTTTGGTCTTTCAACGGGTCTGGTGAGGCAAAGAGGCCAAAGGAAAGGTGTGGCTTTGAACCGGGATCGGCCCTTGAAAATCTTGAAAGAGATTAGCAGGAGCATCCATTCTATGCGGACTTCAGCTGGGAGCTTGGATTCAGATTCTGATTCCCAGATGGCTCTCACATGCGCTTGCAAGATCTTGCACGTCTGAGGATGGGAGGGGCTCTTGGCCCGACAGCTGGACCCACCCTTCGTGCCGAAGGCAGGTATGCATGGTCCGACGTGTGATTACGTCGTAAATTACGTGTTTCGTTGACGTGATGGCCACATGGGTTTTCAGGGGGAGACGTATGCGGAAGATGCCGAGATCGGCAAGGACAGCCAGCCCAGAAATGTCTACACATAAGCTGCCCCAAGAATGAGATTGTAGCAGTGACCGTCTTAGCGTGTCTTCAGCGCTTGATCGCCGGCCTGTCATTGTTGGTGAGCATGCCAGCTGCAGGATGTGGAGCCTGGAACGCTCACGGTCCTGGAAGAGGATGATGGAGGCGCAGCCGGTGATCAACTTCTACTGGTAGCGTGAAGTTGAGGGTTTAGGGTTTAGGGGGTGAGTGGGAACCAGTCGCAGCATTGCAGCAGGCTTGCTTTCTTATTCGTCATCTGTGTTGCACAGCCCAAGTGCTTGCCAGATGGCGATGACGACTGGTTTGATCCTGATCCATCGTGGGCAGATGAGTTTTGATTTGCCCGGGCAGGTTGCTGAATTGTAGCATCCTCCCCACCTTGTCCATAACTACAGGTTGATCTTACACATCTCAAGATTTCAAGAAGCAGTGCAATCGCACACTGTGCGTTCCCGGCATCTTCCGGCCAAGAGCCACATGCAGGGAAGGCGCGCCAACGTCGAAACCTCTCTGCGTATGCTGTGTTTCTCGTACCAGTACTGCCGTCCTTGCTTGATTCAGCGCGGATCCATGCATCTAGAGCTGGACCGAACCTTCAAGCCCTAACAAGCCTGGTCTTTACAGTCTTTACTTAGCCTCCTTAGGAGCGCCGGCCTTGAAGTTGGATTGCACGTGGCCCTGACAGCCACCACCACCATGGCTTCTCCATGCGCGCCCCGTTTGAGCGCTATAGCGCCAGTGCTACATGGAACGTGCAGGCCCCAAAGCCCAAGCATATGCAGGATGTCTGGACAAAGAGCTCAAACTGGGCCACATGCGTTGTTCACCTTCCCCCTGGCATGCCGGTTGGCCCGATTTTGAGCGGGTGAACTGGCAAAGCCAGGGGAAAAAATTCCAGCCTAGTTGGGAGTCAACATCTCTACCGGAGCAGCAGCCTTGGCGATGGGCCAACAAGCTATCGGTATCACCTCTTAGCAGTTCTTGTGGCGTTGGCAAGAGCAGTAATGTTGTCACGCTGCTTGGTGCTCAACTTATAGACCGTGTAGTGTCGTTTCGTCAGGCCTGCGGAAAAGTAACGTGTGGTGTTGGTGTGTGTGTGTGTGTGTGTGTGTGTGTGTGTGTGTGTGTGTGTGTGTGTGTGTGTGTGTGTGTGTGTGTGTGTGTGTGTGTGTGTGTGGGTGGGTGTGTGTGTGTGTGTGTGGGTGTGTGTGTGTGTGTGTGTGTGTGTGTGTGTGTGTGTGTGTGTGTGTGTGTGTGTGTGTGTGTGTGTGTGTGTGGGGCTGTGGGGGTGTGGGGGTGTGGATGTGTGGGTATGTGGGGGGTGTGGGGGTGTGTGGGTGCAGTTGCAGGTGTGGGCGTGCGCGTGGGCGCGTGGGCGCGGGTGGCGCGTGGGCGTGGGCGCTCGGGTGGGTGCCTGAGCAAAGCGGAATCGCAAAACGTGTAAAAGGAAACAAGCAACAAGCAACAAGCAAAACCACAAGCCAACAACCACCACCAGCGCTGCCGCCACCACCAACGACCACCACGACACCCTGACCCCAACCACCAGGAGGAGGAGGAGGAGGAGGAGGAGGAGGAGGAGGAGGAGGAGGAGGAGGAGGAGGAGGAGGAGGAGGAGGAGGAGGAGGACGACGACTCACTGATCCTGAATAGAAATTTCAATTGGTACCCGTGGCGCATGTAAGTGGGTTTACTCCTGAAAACCCAGCAGATCACGATGCAGAATGCGTGTCCTTCTTTATTTCAAAAGCAGTGGGGCAGAATGCGTGTTTGGACATGCACTTGACATGGCCTTGGTCATGGTGGTATTCAATATATTTAACATTTCTTGTTACAGACAAGCACACGTAGCGGGGTAGTGTGTGCGTCTTTGTTTTTAACACACGAGGCGAAGCCCACTCTCAAGATAAGATTTCATGGCTAGCTGCTAGCTGGTTGCATTGTAATGCCAACGGCGAAAAGCGGAATTTACCAATCTTTATTTGATCGACATCGCGTCTGTTCAACACGTTTCAAAACAAACATCCTTGGGCAGCGCACACGGATTCGCGTTAATAAATGGTTGCAAAAAAGGGTGAATGGGTTCAGAGTTTCAGGGTCGGAGCCAACAATAAACGTCAGCAACAGAGCCGGAAGCAGTTCTGTAAGGTCGTAGCCTAGTAGCTCTTGCTGCTTTGCCGCTCGGAAGCTGGGCAGAGATGGCTCCTAGCCAAGGCTCATCGAGCTAGGGTATGGCAGGAGATCGATTGCAAACATCTCATCGCCAAAGAAAAGGCCCTTCACCTGCATTGTTCTCATGTTTCTGTATCCGAGGGGCATGTACCAAACCTTCGCTGAGCTCCTGGATGCCGTGTGAGAATCACCGAGGCTTGTGACTTTGGCACCTCCTTGAGCGTCGCAGTTTGACCCATGTTCGGCACTTTTCGTGCATGGGTAGGTGGTGTCGACCATTCAGCCAGTTACTATGCAGCTAGGATCTTTCAGGGCCTGTCCAATGTCATGATTCACCTGCGCAACATGATCCACCCAGTTCTTTCCCCCCCGCACACCCAGACTTTCTGGGCATTAGGTCCAGACCCTTATCTCCCCCTCCTCCCTACTCCCCCTCCTCCCTGCTCCCCCCCCCCCCGAATGTCGCTTGTGCGTTGGCGATTCCTCAGTCGCGATGGCGTGTCAGGGGTCCGATGTTTGCGCGTTGCTTGCCGAAGTCGCCCTTAATGAGTGGCGAACATATGCGTGCTGATGTCGCAGCCGGCGACTGCAGACTATGACTATGACGGTCCTCGAGTCCGCCATGATGAGAGACACTAGTAAATCTTGCAAAGCTCCAGCGGCTTTGATGAATCCTCAGTGGGGAATTGTGCGTGTCAGCTGATGACATTGTCTTCTCGATGAGGGCCAGAGTCAAGCAGTGGGGGTTTGTTTGGCAGCCAGTGGTTCGGACATCATATCGTCCTTGGGGCTTGGGGTCTTGGGGTTTTGCTTGGCTCGCTTTATTGGTCAGCAAGAGGTGGGCCGTGAAATGTGCTTGACCCTGGACGTTGAATTGGACATAAGCTACGGCCTCTTGCGATGTTTGACCGTGCCTGATGTGATGCTGTCGCTGTCAGGCTGTCAGCTGTAAGGGAGTGCAGCTTCGAATGCCGCGATGACACCTTTCAATAAAAAAGCTCTGCAAACACAGTAGTATCTGTACAATCGCACTTGCATTCCAGCGATGGGCTGCGCAACCTCATCTGTGTCAAGGCTCGATGGCCGCTCGGATGCATTGACTCCATGAACGCTCAGATTCTTGCTGAAAGTGGGCTCACGTGGACTCTACGATGTTTTGCAAGGTCCCGTGAAGGCAGCCGCCTCGAAAAGAGATGGCGTGCCTGCACCTGGTGTCGAGGCCAGCTCGTGGCAGGTGGCTCATGGGGCTTGGTGAGCAGCTGTCGAGCTGCATCTGTTGCTTTTGGGCAGGATATCCTTTCACAGCTTCCGGAGTGTACAGTAGAGGAGCCTGGCTGCAAACTGTCAGGGCAGCCGGACACTTGCGTCGACATGCGAAAATCCTTCTGTCAGACTGTCGGGCTGGTAAGTCAGGAGGAGGAAGGCAACGCTTTGCTGCTGGCTCCGCCGCCGTTCCTGGGCTGCAAAAGGGGGTGGAAGACGGTCCTCACCAGTTGACCAAGAAAGAGTCCAATCGATTCTGCCCATGTTGCCCATGTCCACCCGGAAGAAAGCTGTCGCTCAACCGTCTGCCGAGGACGCTGCTTACATCAAAAGTGGCTGCTGGCGAAGAGAAGGCGCAGAGACCATTTGGAGGTTCAGAGATCGTGACGGTGAGCCCCTGCGAGGTTCAGAAGAAGGAGGAGAATCAGTACAAGGAGGAGGAGTGTCAGAGCATGGATGCGTCAGGCAGCATGTGAGGCCTCAAGGCTTTTGTGCACAAGGATTTTTTGTGCATCTGTGCGCTCCTGACGCCCAGGACGGCTCCACCAGTGAAGAGGAGAGCCACCTGCACCTCACCATCTCGGGCATTGACGTGCTAAGCCTTGCCCGTGTGGCGCTGCCAACCTCCACAGCCCGGATGCCCAACTGTTCCCATCGGTGCTTCAGCCTGCAGATTGTGCACATGCGCATGAAGGTGTTGGGAGCCTTCTGCATGATCTCGCTGCAGCTGCCGGCCCTTCACGTGGCGGTCTGCGCCCCAGGCGATCTGTCGCTGGGGAGCCGGCACATGCCGGCACCAGGCAACACTTGGGTTGCGGTGTGTTGCGGTATGTTGCACGTTGCACTGCTCAGGCCCCTGCGCAGGCGAGCTTCACTGCGCTGGTCTTTGCAACCCTGTGCTGCATGGCGTGCCCTACGACATACCTTAAACCACAGAATGCTAGATCGTCACAGATGTAAATTGGATTCCAGGCTTGCAGCCGCTGGGTTCTGTGGATTCTCTGATGTTTTGTTTGCAGTTCCGGTGTGGTGGGGTCTTGGCGAGCCTGGGAACTTCAGGGTCGCTGGGGCTGTTGTCAGCGAGCACCAGCAGACGAGTTGCCAGGTACTGCGCGCACGCAGATCCCGGGCAGATGCCAGAGGCAGAGTCCCCTGATCTAGAGGAGGCCGGAAGTGTGGGTAAGTTACGTTAATGACCGTAATATACCGTAATGACCGTTAATGTAGCTCCCGTATGCGGGGCCATGATTAGCCGATTACCCATGGCCCGTGTTCTGATGCTGAAGGGCCGGCCTTTGCCGCGTCGTGCCCACAAGTCACGCGCCTAGCTGTCGAATGACAGCCGCGAGCTGGGTTTTAGCACCCCGCAGCCAGAACACCAGTACAACCCAGTACCTTTGCCTAGGTCGTGGCTTTACCCGCGGCCTATCCTGCGGCATGACCACTACTGTACCTGGTCGCCAGATTCTTTTATTATTTGCCGGCCGGGTTTGTCCAATAGTTAAAGTCAAAATCTGGGCGTTTGCGATCGCAAGGCAAGTGGATCCACAACGTGATTGGCAGGGGGCCTGGCCTGCAGCATTGACTGCGCGCCTGCGCATGCCCCAAGACATCAACTGCCCCCAGAACTTTTTCACCATGCAAGTGTGCCTGACCGCGGCCGTATGCTGGGCTGCCGGCTGGGCTCCAAGGCCTTCGAAATCACCGCTCCTTTGTGGTCATGCTGTTTGGCCCCATCCCTACTCACAGGTCTCGTTGTTTGCCTGCTTCCCCTTTGATGCCCTGTGAGGCCTGGCTGCGATTGGAGTGCAGCGGCCTCGAAATAATCCTGGTCGTTTCAGGTCACCAGGTCGCCTGGTCACCTCACGTTACAAGAGCAGCTGAGTGCAGGGCGGGCTGTGCCGTGGACATGTGGCTCATGCTGGCCCTCCTAATCCAGGAGGCCCGAGAAAGAGGGTCATGCGGGCATCGTGAAACATCGTGACAGCTTGATGCCGCGCATGCACAGGGCGTCCACATCGAACCGGCGCAGTTTTCTTGTCTGCGCGCGCCTCAGGAATACGCACTTCACAGTGAGACTTGGACCAGTTCGGTGATCTTGCTGGTTCTTGTGCTTCGCATCCAGGCTGCTGCACTTGGCCTACAGCGGGTTCCTGCTGCACATCGATGTGTCCGGCACCTGGGTTTGTGAATGTATCGGGCGAGTACTCCTATACGCCGATACATTGCTGCGATAGACCGACCGGGGATACACCGATACCAATACACCGACAGTAACGGGGTTGGGTGGCAGAGCGGCGGTGTATCGGCGTGAAAGCCGTGCTGCGTAGGGGGGGGGAGAGGAGGTGGGGGAGGTGGGCGGTGTGTCGGCGTTTCGGTGTGCGCGAGCGGGTGGGTGGAAAAATTGGTGTATATCGGTGTACACCGACCGGGTGGATACGCCGGTCGGTGTACTCGAAGGAGCGGGGTGCGGGCGGGGCTTATCCGTGTATCGGCGTAGCTGCGCAAGGAGGGGGGTGCCTTGGACGCTTCGCGTCCATTTGATGCAGTATATATTCTTTTCCAGTACAGCGGAGCTAGCCAGCGGCCTGAGCGGCCTCAGCGGGCTCAGCGGCCAAAGCAGCGGGCCCGGCGGGCTCGGCCACCTGAGCGGGCTCAGCGGGCTGAGCGGCTTGAGCGGCCTGAGCGGGCTCAGCGGCCTGAGCGGCGCCTGAGCGGCCTCAGCGGGCTCAGCGGCCTGAGCGGCTTCAGCGGCAGCGGCCTGAGCGGCCTGGGCGGCGCCTGAGCGTGAGCGGCCCGCCTCAGCGGCCTCAGCGGGCTCAGCGGCCTGAGCGGCTTCAGCGGGCTCAGCGGCTTCAGCGGCCTCAGCAGCCTCTTGGGGCGTCCTCAAGAAAAGGCTTCGAGGCAACAACAGTCTGTGCATACCCCAGCGACTGTTTGACGGCAATGATATCTCAAAAGAAACCTATATCAAATATAGCCCTTGTAAAGTGTCCAACACACGGGCGGGCGGGGGGAGGGGAAGAGAAAAAGAGGTGGGAGGGAGGGAATCGGCGTATCAGCGTGCTTTGTGTCGAGGAAACGGGGGGGGGGGGGGGGGGTGGAATCGGTGTATCGGTGCAAGAACCGGGAGCTTGCACCACGGATGCACCGAAACACAGCAGCAGCGGCCGAGAGAGCCCCGGGGCAGGGCGGCACTACGTATTTACACCGATATATATAAGGGGGCTCCCGGCGGGGGCGATCGGCAAAGGATGGTGGCAAAACACCAGTACACCGATCATCTCGGGCAAAGGTCAGGGCCTGAAATTAAGGCCCAGCAAATTCGATTCTTACACCGATAGGGCAATCTGGAGCGTGGGGCGGGGCGAAGGGGGCGAGGCTTGGGCGGCGTAGGGTATGGGGGGGGGGCGGGGGGCGATCGGCGTGTCGTCGTCTGGGCGTATGTGGCGGAGGAGGGGGGAGGGGGGTGGAAAGGAACATTAACAAGAACAAAGAGAATTAAATGAAGAAGAACAAAAAGAGTTTGAACAAACAATGTCATCTCTTGATAATTCTACATGCGAAGATTGATAACGCAGTAGAAGAACAGATTGTCAAGAAAATAAAGCATGCAGCCTCACATCAAAACTGAATTGGAAAGCGTGTTTTGGCTTGGCAACAAAGACATTCGACTCAGCGTGAAATATGTGAGAGAAATTTGCATGGCAATCGTGCTACCTGTAATACTGTAAGGGATTGGGTCGTATGTCTAATGTATCAAAATCACAGCTGGATTAATGCCAAAAAAACAGTTACATCAACAGAACATAATCAATATTTTCAGAATCCGATGTTGCGTATTCGATAAGACATGTGAATCGTACATGTTTCGCGGCTGAAATTCCATCATTGGTTGAAAGTGGGAGAACAGGATTTATTGGGCAAGTTCGTTTGCGATTCAAAATGGTGACTTCTGCTTTCATGGCCGTAAGTTGCATGCCGAGAAAATTCATTCCCAGGTTTCTCTTGCAACTCTTTTTTGATATTCGCTTGAAATTGCTTGCGGGATCGGCGTTCCGGCGTATCGGTGTAACTCGGCGTATCAGCGCATCGGCGTATGTAGGGGAGGATGGGGAAGGCGGGTGGGGGGCCTCGTTGCATGCACGCTGGTTCAGAGCCAGGGAAGGTCGGGGTTTTCCAGGATTCGTGTCCTCTGACTTTAGGCCCATCCTTCGCATCCACTGGGGCCTGATTTCCAGGCGGTGCTTGCGATGTGCCGTGTGAACCCACAGCCTGCCCTTCAGACCGAATTCGGCCATAAGCGGCCGTTGTGCAGGAATGAGCTCAATCAAGAGTGGAAGGCAGACGATTTCTGGGTCGCAGAGGGCTCAATGCAACTCTGCCACCGCAGACGAATTTGAGTACCTCCATGGTCAGCATCAGCAAGGCTCCGGGAGAGGGCTGCACTCCAGCAAAGGAGCTGGGTGTGGACGAGTGCCCCCCCTTATCGCGGCGTTCCTCTCGTGAGGCTCTGCCTCTTGAACTGCGAGGTATAACCGGCTGTTCGATGAAGATGCCCTGGTGTACGATGCCAGCAGGTGCCTGCTGAAGTTTTCTATGCTACATGCACGTGGCCGAAGCACACCAAGCCGGCAGAAACGCCTTCGACCGGGGCACGTACCAGAACTGCTTGACCTTTTGGTTCGCAGCACGCTCTGCCGGCCACTTGGGCGGGTGAGGGGGCCTTTCTTGCGCAATTCTCATGTGTTGCTTGGGTCCATGCCTTTCAGCCTAGGGAAACCTGGGCGAGTGGTGAGCCTTCCCAAGATGGGCAGGGCATTGACTGAGACTGGCTGTCCTGCGCTTGCAAACGATTGTGGTCCGCGATGGTCCGCGCACATGGGTAGGACAAAGCAGAAATGTCATGACAAGATGATGCATGTGAACTTAAAAACGCCTCGGAAGTATTGTCTTGAATTTCGGTGAGGGGCCTCTTGGGGCGAGCCTGGGAACTTCAGGGCCGGCGAGGGTGCATGCGCAGACAAATTGCCAGGTACTACGCGTACGCAGATCGGGGGTTTGTACTGCTTCAATCGCAGCGAGGATTAGGATTCTCTGTAGCAGTGTCCATGAAGGGTACTACAAGGGTGTTGGTAGAGTGGATGGACAGGAACCGGTTGCGAGAGTGCAGGAGGTCAGTTTCAAGACGCAGTCTTCCGTAAGGTTATCGTAGATGCCATTATCAGGTTCTTTGGGCACGTGGCCAATGGAAAGGTGCAGTACACAAGCAGTTGCAGGCAACGTAGGCTCGGATGGCGGCGATGCTGCGACTATTCGGGCGGCCTACCAGCTCCAACACACAGAAGGCGCATCTGCAGCGGCATAATGTTTTATAATGTGGCTCCCGTCTTCCGAGTGCTTTGTCGAGCCGGCCCACACAGCTCTGAACTGAAGCTGGGGCAGGTTATCTGGACCTTGAACGAACTACGGAGCAGGCAACGGTGTCAGAAGTTGATGAGGTTGGATTGTTACGCTTTCGATGCAGACACGCTTGCCCAGGCTTTACATGTGGCTACTGTAGAAGTCGCAAGTTTGAAACTCGAAACTCGGTGCCTGGGACCATGAGCCAGGCCCAGTTTCGAGCTCGTTCTGGCCAGTGCTCGCATGGGTGCTGGCTCGAACTTGCTTTGCGAGAATTCTGGAGGCAAGCCATATGGCATTGTGGACACGGATCCTTGCCAGCAGTAGAGTTCAGGTTCTGTTGCTCCAGGAATATCTGCAACAGGGGCAGAGAAGGCAGCGGCAGCAATGCCTTCCGAAAGCCCCCGAAACCACGAACGCAATAGCACGCAAAAGCACGACTGCAAGATGGGGGCCATGCCGAAGTGTATTCAACGAGTTAAACAAAGAAAGCGCAGCTCAAGGACGAGTATGCCAAAATGAACCCAATGCGTCCCAGCCTCGGCTCTGGAGACGCCAAGGTAGCTAAGGTAGCTAAGGCATCTCAGCATCTCATGAGTTGAGGCACCGTCCCCTGTTTGGTGGATGGTGAGCTTGCAGTTTGGGAATCGCATTCGATTGTGCGATATTTGGCGCAGAGTCTCAGATGATGTTATAAGACGTTGTTGCACAGTCAGGTTCTGCTTGTTTATGCCTCCACATCTTGCTTTGGAAGTCTTTGGAAGTTTTCGAGCAGAAAAGGAAGTACTCGCCGGAGCTGCACCTAAGCTCGGTTGAGGGCCTGGCCCGATGCTCCCCGTGGATGGACTGGCTCCTCTTCTCCAACTTTCATGAGTGCTACGGCCTCAGGCGGCAGGTGCATGTTCGACTGTCCCGTCCATGGACACCGCTTCAGCATGTCAATCGTGTGTTGGGATTGGACAGTGCATCACTTCAGGGATTTACTGGTACAGACGCAGTGTAGGATGCCTTCGTTGGACCCCCCCTGCGTTGCAGTGCCAAAGCTTAATGGCTTGCAAGTGCCTGTGCTTGTACGCGGTCCTGCAGATCCAGGAAAAGCTGGGACATGGACCCCTTTACGTGATGGCGTAGCTTTTCAAGTTCCTCCGAGCTTGGCCTTTGGCGCAAAGCAGGGCATAGCTGTCATAACCTGTTGCAGGAGTACATCCTCACCAGGTGCAATTCGGACATAGTGAAAAACAACTCAAAGACGGATGGTACAGGCATGGTTTCTGGATGTAAGCGCCCAACACACAAGCGAAAGTCCCAGCCTTCTGGCAATTCGAAGTAAAAGGGCGTCTGGAGAAGTGGTGTCCGCCAGACACGCTGGTTTTGAACATAGGCCTGCGCCTGCCGGATGGCTTGAACCCGAAGTGTTAGCAGGCCTTGCCCTCCTGCCCTCCGCAACATTGCATCACTGAGGTAATCATGATCTCATAGATCAGACCGCGCGTACGCTGCCGGAGCAACGTGATGTTGCCAAGATGACGGAGAGCTACAGAGGCCCGCGCAAGAGATCCAGTCGCGGCGCTGAGCGTGTAGTCATGTGTAATCATCCTAAACCCCAAAAACCCTCAACCCGAAGCCCTGAACTTCAGGTTACGTGAATCGCTTCCAGAAGGTGGAAGAGCGCATAGCGCAAACCGGCGCTTTCCTGGTCGGAGACGAATTCACCATTGCTGCTCCTTGCGCTGCATAGCAGCTGACTTCAATGCTTGTGGATAATTCAGTTCCACGTTTGGATGCCTGAGTCTTTGCACAGGCGACTGACACTTGAAGATATGCCTGCAAGCGGAGGATATCGTGGTCGGAGCTGAAGTTTGCCGTTTCAGCTGCAGCAGCTCGCCCACTTGTAGAGCACGTTCAGTTCATTTCAGTTCATCGAATTCAATGGCATTGCTAGTGAGAGAGTTTTCATCGAATTCATCTGGCTACGGGCACTTGTCGAGTGGAAGCACGTGCTCGTACCATGTTTAGAAATCGTGTTCTATGACACGACAACACTGTTCCATGACAAGACAATACTGTTCCATGACGCCGCTGCTTTGTTCCATGACACAGTTTTTTGGGTACCATGTGTAGTTCAGTGTACTGTCGTTATAGTTTAGTGATTTAGTGTAGTGACAGTTTCGTGTCCTCAAGTTCTACTTCAGCGTCCTCTAGTTCTGCTTCAGTGTACTGTCGTTATAGTTTAGTGATTTAGTGTAGTGACCGTTTCGTGTCCTCAAGTTCTACTTCAGCGTCCTCTAGTTCTGCTTCAGTGTCCTCTAGTTCTACTTCAGTGTCCTCTAGTTCCGGGACGAAACCGCTTCATTTCGACACTTGCTGCTTGGTGCTGTGCCTGGAGTCAGCAAAAGCGCCATGGCTCGCTACTCGTGCCGGCTCCCTTGTTCCGGTTCCTGCTTTACCTGCAGGCCTGCTCTTCCCATTCCGAGTGGAGATTCGTGCTAGAAACTGGAAGCATACCATGCACCACTGTACTCGGAGGCCAGCGTGACGATGTCTGGTCGTTTGGAGTGCAATTCTCCAGTCGTTCCTTTGTTAGGCCGGCCCCTTGTTTGGCATGTCTCGTTCTTTCTTTTTTGCCTGTGTTGCAAGAGCTTCTGAAGGACTGCAAGAGCAGACAGAGGATGCTGGAGAGGAAACAGAAGATGCTGGAGAACAGCTGGTAAGGGCTTCTGGGGCTTCTGGAGAAGGAGACCAATTGGCACTGGAAGTGTGCAGTGCAGCCCTGGCTCGTTTGTGGCTTGCATGTGCAGTGCAGCCCTGGCTCGTTTGTGTTGTGAATGCCTAGGGGCACGCGCGGGGAAAGCCCTGTCCAGGTTAGCCAGCTTCGTGCGATGCTGGTTGAGCGAGACCTTGATGACTCCGGCAACAAGGCATGTCGTTTCCGTGTACACAAATTGCCTAGCGGTTCTTTGATGACAGTCCCTGTGAGGCAACCTTGCTGCGTCGCCTTCGTGCTGCTGCTGGGAGTGCGAAAACGTTCACATGTTCGAAGTGCTCTCGGGTCGTTACGGAGATGCCGTGTGGAGACCGAAAGGAATGTTCAAGTTGTCGAACTCTCATGAAGCAGCTCGTGGCCCACGATGTAGCGGTCCAAGCACTGGGTGTAGACTCTGCGACTTTGCAGGGTTTTTTCGCGGCTGTTGCAGCTGCTCGCACTGGTGCGGCGATGCACTGGAGCGATGTGCGAGAAATGTTGTTGACGTCCTTGTCCTCATACCACGAGCTCAGCCATCGCAAAGTTTGTGAGGTCCTGGAGCGGCCGCTCCAGTTTTGGACTAACAATGGTTATGATGAAAATCATATCAAGCTGCACTGCCCAGCTGTGAACGATCCGATGATGGGGCGGCTGTATCGCGGTCAGCTTCGCAGCGAAAAGGAGGTGGACTATCGCAGATTGTCACTGGACCTGCTGTCCAAAATTATGGAGGATACCAGGAAGCGCAAGGAGCCCATGTCTCTGTCCATTCTTGGCCGGTTGTCGGGACTGTGCTTGTTGTTGCAATTGCTTGTTTTGGCAGGACCTTCGGAAAGCCAGCTCGCAAAGGGCCAAAAGGCAGAAGGCCATCGTGCAGGCCTCAAACTGTTCTGTTTCCTACTTTCGAGTCCTGCTGTTCTGTTTCCAACTTTCGAGTCCAACAGTGGGGGATTCTAATGTTCAGATTTCCGGTGCATATTCGGATCTTTGGCGTGATGCATGGCATTGCAGGAGCAGCCCGACTCCTCTGCCGACGTTGATACGTTAACGGTGCCAGCGTTGAAAGATAAACTACGAAGCCGCGGATTGCAGACCACGGGAAAGAAGGCCATGATTCATGGCCCACGAAAACCTGCACATTGAAAGGGCCCACCCCATGGCTGTGCCACATTGCCAGGCTGATCTGCTGGCTCGCTTGAAGCAAGCGCTCAGCGAAGAAGGTGTTGCTCCACCAAGTGACTGTGCGGGGGCCTGTGTTTGGATGGGGGCCGTGTTCTGCATCGCTATCCTTGCATGACCATCTCTTGAGCAATCTTGCTCAGGCTCAGCCCCCTCTCGCTTGGCCGTCAGACCTGGGCGATGTCGAGCAGCGCAAGAAGATGCTGCTGCAAAGGTGTGCTGACAGGCTCCCCTTCATGTTTCAGGAACGTTTTGCTGTGGATGTGTGGCTTTCTGGACTTCGTGACAGCAAGAATAGTGAGCTGCTCAGGTGCAAGTTTGTCTGTTTCGGGCACGAGAATGCAGGAGTGACATGTTACTTGCAGGCCAGATGCTGTGACTGCTACGCTCACATATACACGGACAAGGTTTTCCTTTCTTTTTGCCTTCCGCTTGAACAGGCAACGTTGACTATCCTGGCTGTGCACGAGGCGAGAGAGAGCCTGCCCCTGCAGCATGAGTTAGATCACAGCCTGTTTGAGGAGCTTCTGAGCGGACATGCTGTCGACGAGACGCTGCACAAGGACTCTGTTCGGAGGCCGCGCTCAGGCTCCTCCCCCAAGGCTTGCTCGCCTGTTGGCAGGAGATTTCTCATATCATTGAAATGTCTCGAACCCGAGTGGTGGACCGCCTTCTCATGGCTGCTTGGCCATGATGGTCTACCTCTTTTTTTTGGTCTCTTTCGCTTTCTCAAGCCACAAGCGACTCGTGATTTCACTCCAGGTGCAGCTAGAGCAGTACTTGGCCAATTTTGATCTGGTGTCCCGTGGCCTGCAGGCGGCCTATGCTGACACGCGGGCAAGTCTCAAGCGAAACCACACAGGATGATGTACAGAACCGTCTCTCGGGGTGATGATGGTCGCGGGGGTCCGAACCAAATGACTTACTGTAGCGCAGTCTCCGTGCTTGGCTCTGTGCCTCAACCCCGAACCCTGCAACCTCAACCCGCAGGGTTCTGCGTTTTTGGCAGCCTATGGCAGGAGGATGCCGTTCGCATTTTGGAGGAGATTTTGCCATTGTGCTTGGTCTGATGTCTTGGCACAACACTCTGCTCTCGAGATCTAGTTGGTGCTGTCCTTCCCAAGCTTCATTTGTCGAGACCCTAACTGAGGTGCGGCGGGCTCGAGCTGACTGTCAACATGGTGACCTGTGCCAGAGCCGAGGCGTTCCAGTCGCTCAAGCTGGATGCTCTGCGGCGGCACCCATAACCATTCCATTTGTGGTTGAGGAAACACGGGGGTCTGGGTTTGCTGCTTTACAGCTTCATTCTGGCGTGCTTGTTCTGCTGCCAAGCCCAGGATTCGCGAGTTTCCATCCCTCCTTCCGAGCCACTATACATTCTTCGCATACCGCTGTCCGATCTTGAACTTAAACACGCCAATGCATGCCGAGGGCTTCTTGTGGCTTCTTCTAACTTCTTGTTTCTTTCGTTGCTTGCAAGGAAATTGCCGGCCGCAAGGAAAGGAACCTGCAACTCATGCTGCAGGACGCGATATTTGCAGAGGCGCATGCCTCTTTGTGCCATTCTTGCTCTGTGGGGCCTTTGACTTCCTTTTCACAAGTGCAGAATTGCTTTGTGCAAATCACCAATGGAGAGACAAGGTGCAGAATTGCTTTGTGCAAATGACCAATGGTGATACCGCTCGATTCACAGCAACGAGAGCGCTCAAGCGTAGCCATGGCAAGCCCCTTGCTTGCACTTTTTCAAGGCACACTCCGGCGCTGCGTGTGATCCATTGTGACACCCAGGGTGGCGCCGCTTACGCTGCCTCTATGCGTGCAACGATGGCGTGCAGCGGACAAGTCCGCAGCGGCTAGCTCCAAGAATGCGGCCTCCATCACTGTTCCTTTCCAGGTTCACGCCTTGGTTGTCCGTGTGCCTTCACCTTCAATCCCGAATTTTCATCCTAAACTCTGAACCCTGAAGTTTAAGAACTAATGAGCGTCAAGCCTGCAGGGGAACCCAAGTAGGGTTGGACGGTTTCGAGGTTTACGATTTAGGGTCCGACTATTCCTACTTGTGCTGAGGGATTGCAACTGCCTCTACTACCGCCGTGCCACTCCGACCTGCGCCTTGAAGATGTGGAGCGCTTCGGCTTTCCATTTCTCGTGTCCCTATGCCAGCATATAGTCCCGTGCAGTCATCTTACTGTGCAGCTGAGGTTGTGGGAGTACGATCTGCGCTCTTTCCTTGTGCATGAGGCGCGACCAATGTTTTTCGCAGGCTCTTGACCGTTCATTTCGACGTGTTGTCAGGGCACGCTGGATGGCGGTCACTTTACTGCCTATTACAAAGCCGATAGATGGTACATGGTCGACAACAGTTGGTGCACGGGCTTCTCGGCCGCGGCACCTGCCTAGCATTGGTTTAAGCGATGGCACTGGCCGATGATATTCTCCATGCCACTATTTTTTTGCCTGCTGCAGCTCTCACCGACGAGAAGGCTGTCAGCGCGGCCAGTGTTGCATATCTGCTTCTTGGCGTGCGATTCCCAGGTTCTTGGTAGTGGCTCTTTCATGCTTGCCCTGCATGCCGAGGCTCGTGTATGAATTGAATGCTTATGCGGGCATGACCAGTGGCGAGTCGCTTTGTCGGACAACAGGCCGGCAACCAACAGTCATTCAAGCTGCCATGCTTTGAGGCTCTTTGATTTTACTTTGCAGGATCTGCCGAAAACACCTTTCCACCTACTCTTGTTCCTTGGCGTTTTGGGTCCCATTTCCAACCTGTTTCTGACAATCTTTATCTCTTCAGGATTACGCCGCACCGTCGCACGGGGGTCTCAGCTTCGAAGATGTCCAGGAGGCCATGGCCCACATGCAGATGTAGCTGCCAAGCATGAAAAACGTTCTTGCCAGGCCCAGCAATTCGTACGTGGCCTCCGAGGCCGCGTGCCACTTATCGACTTGGAAACTGAGGAGGCCAGAGCGTGGGATGCTGGCCTCCGCAGGCAAACCCTAAAGGGGAAGAGGGGTTTTTCAGCCTTTGGGCTTCGGTTGAGGATCAAGGGTTTAGGGTTTAGACTTTAGGGTTTCCTTGACACTTTGCCCTGAA